TACCGTCCCGTGTTCGGGGGAACTCCCGTGTTCCCGTCTACCGTCCCATGTTCGGGGGAACTCCCGTGTTCCCGTCTACTGTCCCGTGTTTGGAGGAACACCCGTTTTCCGGTCTACCGTCCCGTGTTCAGGGGAACTCCCATGTTCCCGTCTACCGTCCCGTGTTCCCCTCTACCGTCCTGTGTTCGGGGGAACTCCCGTGTTCCCGTCCCCGTGAACCGTCTGGTGTTTGGGGAAACTCCCGTGTTCCCGTCCATGTATACCGTACCGTGTTCGGGGGAACTCCCGTTTTCCTGTCCCCGTCTACCGTCCTGTATTCGGGGGCACTCCCGTGTCCCTGTTAACCATCCCGTGTTCGGGGGAACTCCCGTGTTCCCATCCCCGTGAACCGTCCAGTGTTCGGGGGAACTCCCGTTTTCCCGTCTACCGTGCCGTGTTTGGGGAAACTCCCGTGTTTCCGTCCATGTATACTGTCCCATGTTCGGGGGAACTCCTGTGTTCCCATCTACCATCCCGTGTTCAGGGGAACTCCCGTGTTCCCGTCTACCGTCCCATGTTTAGGGGAATTCTCGTGTTCCCCTCTACCGTCCCGTGTTCACAGGAACTCCCGTGTTCCTGTCCCCGTCTACCGTCCGGTGTTCAGGGGAACTCCCGTGTTCCTGTCTACCGTCCCATGTTCAGGAGAACTCCCGTGTTGCCGTCTACCGTCCCATGTTCGGGGGAACTCTCGTGTTCCCCTCTACCGTCCCGTGTTCGGGGGAACTCCTGTGTTCCTCTCTACCGTCCCGTGTTCTGGGGAACTCCCGTGTTCCCGTCTACCGTCCGGTGTTCAGGGGAACTCCCGTGTTCCCGTCTACCGTCCCGTGTTCGGGGAGAATTCCCGTGTTCCCGTCTACCATCCCGTGTTTGTGGGAACTTCCGTGTTCCCGTCTACCTTCCCGTTTTCGGGGGAACTCCCATGTTCCCCTCTACCGTCCCGTGTTCGCAGGAACTCCCGTGTTCCCATCCCTGTCTACCGTCCGGTGTTCAGGGGAATTCTCGTGTTCCCCTCTACCGTCCCGTGTTCGCAGGAACTCCCGTGTTCCTGTCCCCGTCTACCGTCCGGTGTTCAGGGGAACATCCGTGTTCCTGTCCCCGTCTACCGTCCCGTGTTCGGGGGAACTCCCGTTTTCCTGTCCCCGTCTACCGTCCCGTGTTCGGGAGAACTCCCGTGTTCCCGTCTACCGTGCCGTGTTCGGGGGAACTCCCGTGTTCCAGTCCCCGTCTCCCGTCCCGTGTTCTGGGGAACTCTCGTGTTCCCGTCTGCCACGCCATGTTCGGTGGAACTCCCGTGTTCCCGTCCCTTCTACCGTCCAATGTTCGGGGGAACTCCCATGTTCCCGTCCCCATCTCGTGTCCCGTATTCGGGGGAACTCTCGTGTTCCTGTCCCTGTCTCCCATCCCGTGTTCGTGGGAACTTCCGTGTTCCTGTCTACCGTCCCGTGTTCGGGTCCCCGTCTACCGTCCCGTGTTTGGGGGACCTCCCGTGTTCCCGTCTACCGTTCAATGTTCGGGGGAACTCCTGTGTTCCCGTCTACCATCCCGTATTCGGGAGAACTCCCGTGTTCCCGTCCCCGTGTCCCATCCTGTGTTCGGGGCAACTGCCGTGTTCCCGTCCCTGTCTCGTGTCCCGTGTTCGGAGGAACTCCCGTTTTCCCGTCTCCCGTCCCGTGTTCGGAGGAACTCCCATGTTCCCGTCTACCATCCCGTGTTCGGGGGAACTCCCATGTTCCCGTCCCCGTCTCTTGTCTCGTGTTCGGGGGAACTCTCGTGTTCCCGTCTACCGTCCTGTGTTCGGAGGAACTCCCATGTTCCTGTCCCCATCTACCATGCCGTGTTCAGGGGAACTCCCGTGTTCCCGTCCCGTCTACCGTCCCGTGTTCGGGGCAACTCCCGTGTTCCCGTCGCCGTCTACCATCCCGTGTTTGGGGGTACTCCCGTGTTCCCGTCCCCGTCTCCTGTCCCATGTTCGGGGGAACTCTCGTGTTCCCATCCCCGTCTACCGTGACGTGTTCGGGGGATTTCCCGTGTTCCTGTCCCCGTCTACCGTCCCGTGTTCAGGGGAACTCCCGTGTTCCCATCGCCGTCTACCATCCCGTGTTTGGGGGAACTCCCGTGTTCCCGTCCCTGCTCCTGTCCCATTTTCGGGGGAACTCTCGTGTTCCCGTCTACCGTCCCATGTTCTGGGGAACTCCCGTGTTCCTGTCCCCGTCTCCCGTCCCGTGTTCGTCAGAACTCAAGTCCAGTGCCCTAACTTCTACGTCACTCTACCTCCCAAATTTAACAAGGACGAGTGTGAAGTCTTACATGTGCTTTGAATCTATCAAATGGTTATATGCAAGATGGGGGACACATGGCTAGATTTCAGTTAAGGGATCGTAAGCTGCATATGAGTCAACTGTGTGACTTGTCAGTCAAGAAAGCCAGTTAAGTTCTTAGGCTGTTTCATGAAAGGTGTTGTGTTTAGAAATAAGGAGGTAAGAGAATCTATGTACTGTGCCCTGGTTAAATCACTGTTGGAGTTAGTGTACAGTTTTGGGGTTTGGGCATGATGGACTTCTGAGTTAGGCTACCAGGATTGTGAAAGGCCTCAATTTTGTGACATATTAGCATCCACAGAAGGGACATGAAATGTTTATCCTGGATATGAGAAGGCTCAGAGGAAACATGATAGCTATATTCAAATATGTGAAGGAATATGACATGAAAGAGGAATTAGGAATTGGGAATTTTGATCCCAAAAGGCAGAAATAATGATAACAGTAGCTAACATTTATATAGTACTTTAAGGTTTCCAAAGTGTTTTAGATGTATTATCTTGTTTGATCCTCGTAACAGTCCTGTGAGATAGAATCTAAATTATCCCCATTTTGAAGATGAGGAATCTGAGGTAGGGTTAAGTGTCTTGCCCAGGGTCACAAGGCTAGTAGGTTCTGAGGCAAGAATTAGAATCAAGTCTTTCTGAGTATGAGACCAGCACTTTGTCCACTACCCCACCTAGGCCCAAAGGGTAGAAATTACAGGGAGGTACATTTTAGCTTAATTTGAGGAAGACATATTAACAATTTGAGCTGGTCAGGTCAGGGGCTTCCTTGAGAAGTAGTAAATTTCCCATCACAGTGGGTTTTCAAACGGGACCCCTTGTCAGGGACATTGGAGGAGGAATTAACTGCTTGGGTAGAGGTTGGATAGATATGACCTCTGAGGACTCTTCTAATGATTCTATCATTCTAGGAGGTCTTGGGGAGGGAGGTGGTTTGGTATAGAATGATGGCATCCCCATGAGTTAATACAGGTGAGGAACCATAATGGTGAGCTGGTGGGTATGGAGGCATGAGAAGTAGCAGTGTTAGATATAACCTTTCCCTTTGGCCCTGGTAACTCCAAGGAGAAAGTTCAGGCAGAGCCTTTCTGGTGAGCTTCTACTGCCCAGACACCACACACCTTTCTTCCTTTTCATTATTGTCTTGGAGCTTGGGGCTTGAAGAATGAGGCAGGGGGTGCAGGTTATGATACCAGGGGGAGGGCTCAATCTGTGCTTCAAACAATGATCACCATGCTAGGCAGCTGAAATTAAATTACTTAAAAAAATTTTTTTTTCCATTGATTGATCTCTCACTATACATTATAGAAATGCGTATGGCAGCTGCTTTACAGTAGCTTACTTTCTAAACAGGTTAACCAACAAATCTATCCAAAACTATCCATTTAGGGTCAATTACATGAGGACACTGTGCCTCTTGTCCCTTCCCCCCCATATATATTTCATTTTTATTTTATTTTATTTTATTTTGCTTTTTAGTGAGGAAATCGGGGTTAAGTGACTTGCCCAGGGTCACACAGCTAGTAAGTGTCATGTGTCTGAGGCCAGATTTGAACTCAGGTCCTCCTGACTTCAAGGAGGAGCTCTATCTGCTCCTTCACCTAGCTGCCCCCTATATTTCTTTTAGGCTGGTGTTCCAAAGGACAGATCCCTAAGCTTCTCCTCTCTTCTTCCCTCTTGTCCCTGTAAATGGTGGAATGGATGGAGAAGTAAAGAAAAGACCTACTCCCAGTCAGTTCCCATCAGGGATGTGGGGAACATTTCCCACTGGCTCTGGTAGCTTTATTTACACAAGCCCTAAAGAGGGAGGGGGAACTTAAAGAGATCCAAGGAGAGTGTGAAAATCGATTTCCTGTGAACAAGGCAGAATACAGAAAATCTTAAGCTGATTCAGCAAGACAACTAGGCTGAAAACCAGGAAGGAATAATTCCTCTTCCAGATGCTAGTGACCCCTATGAGTAAACATGGACTCTTAGAATGTAAGGGAAGAGGTTCACCTAGATCAGCCACTCCCTGAAGCACAGATACCTGACAAGGGATCTGTCTTCCACTTGAATATCTCCAATGGCAGGGAACTCATTATCTCTAGTGGCAATCTGTGTCATGTTGGAGAGCTGTAACTGTTAGAATTCTTTTTTCTTATGTTGAGTGAAATCGACCTTCTCTGTAACTTCTACCTATTCCTCTTAGTCCTGCCCTCTCAGGTCAAGGAAAACAAATGGAAATGAGTGGGCATAATTAAATTCAGACATCTTTATGAAGTACATGTTATATACAAGGCGGTATGAGCTTTTTTTTTTTTTGCTCAGACCTGCAATTTCATCGGTGTACAGAACTCTTAGTACAAAAATTTTTATCGCTAACGCCAGCAACTCTTCTCTAATTCTCTTAAAAAGTTGCCCAGGGACTCTTAAGCCAAGATGGTGGAATAGAGGCAACTCAGATGAACTCTCTCCACATGCCTCTCCAAACAACTTTAAAATAATGCCTCAAATAAAATTTTGGAGCAGCAGAGACAACAAAAGGTCAGGGTGAGATATTTTTCCAACTTAAGAAAATTTAGGAGGTTGCCAGGAGAAGTTTGTGAAATGGGGGTGGAAGCCTGTCAGGAGCTCACCCAGGCTCTCGTGGCCACAGCTGCTGCTGCTGCAGCCTCGGGAGATCTCAGCAGAGAGACGGTAAGAGGGTTGGATAACTCATCAGGAAGAGCTTACATGGGACCCTTTGCTGGGTACACCTGGCACTGATTGGCAACTCTGTTATCCATACACGGTTTTAGGTCACAGTTTTAGGATGGAGAGAATATTTATAGTGGCTCTTTCTAGGGGCATAAAAAACTGGAAATTGAGGGAATGTTCATCAATTGGGGAATGGCTGAACAAGTTATGGCATATGATTGTGATGGAATACTATTATGCTATAAGAAATGATGAGGGGGTGGTTTCAGAAAAACATGGCAAGACTATATGAACTGATGCAAAGTGAAGTGAGAAGAATCATGAAATAATTGTGCATAGTAACAACACTATTGCAATGATGATCATCTGTGAAAGACTTGGCTAATCTGATCAACACAATGTTCCAAGACAATTCCAAAGGACTCATAATGAAAAAATGCTATCCACTTCCAGAGAGAACACTGATGAGCTCCGAGTACAAATTGAAGTATAATTTTCTCACTTTATTTTTCTTGCTTTTTTTTTGGAAATAAGGCTAATAAGAGAAAATATGTTTTGCATGATTTTACATGTATAATTGTTATCATTGCTTGTCTTTTCAGTGGGTGGAGGAGGAGGTGGGAGGGAGGGAGAGAATTTGGAACTGAAAATATAAAAAGAAAAGAATGTTAATAATAAAAAATATTTTTTTTAAAAAGAAATGCTCGGTGCTCTGAGAGGTCAACTGACTTGTCCATGGTGTCATGGCTAATATGTATCAAAAGTGTATTTGAACCCAGGTTTTCCTGGCTCTAAAATTGGTAGTCTTAGCCACTATGCCATGCTACTCTTTACCATGGGAGAGAAAGATAAAAATAATATAATCCATGCCCTCAAGCAGCTTAAAATCTAGTGAGGGTGATTTTATATATACATACCCATATGTATATATAATGATATATATTTATATATACACACGATTAGGTCTGGTACAAGATGGAATGTGATGAGTGAGAGTTGTTGAGGAAAAAGTGCTGTAAGAATCATGAGGAAGGAGGAATAATTTTCAGATTGGGGAAGTAGGGAGGGTGAAAAGTAAGTTTTTGTGGAGATGAGAACATCTGAGGTAGGCCTTGATGAAAGAGAAGTATTTCAGTAGGTAGAGATAAATAGGCAGACCTGGTATAGAGGGCCTGTTCAAATGCCCAGAGGCTGAAAAAGAATAGCAGGAGAATGGGAACAATTGCTCCCAGTCTAGTGTGACTGAAATCCATAGTATTTAAAGAGGAATAGAATAAAATAAGACTTTACAAATAGCTTGGGATTCAAACTGTGGATCTTAAAATGGTCTCTAAGGGACAGGTTAAGGAGTTTGTGTTTTATCCAGTAGGCAATAGGGGATCACTGAAAATTCTTGAGCAGAGGAATAACATGGTTAAGGTTATGGAAGATTGTTTTTGCAGCTGTATGAAGAATGGATTTCATTAGAGAGACTGGGAACAAGAAGACCAGGTGGGAGACTATTGCAATAATCCAGATGAGCAAGAATGAGGACCTGAAATGGCCACATGAGCAGAAAGATGGGGGAAGCTGTGTGAGATATTTGGAAGGCAGAACTGGTAGGACTGAGAGCCATAAAACTGATTGAATGCAGGGGCTGAGAGAGGGAAGAAGCTAAGATGTCTCTCGGGTCTAGGAAGACTGTGATGCCATCAACAGAAACAAGGAAACGGGGGATGAGAGGTGGGGAGTGACGAATTCAAATTAGATTTATTGCTGGGAGAAAGGCCAGATGAGAGAATACTTGGAATGAAAACTAAACTTAGCCTTGATAAGGGGACGTTGGGATGAGAAATAACCGCAAACCAAGTGAGATCACAAATGACCTTGGAGTTTGGGTGGGGATATGAATTAGGAGGAGGGGGATGCCTCATGGACAGGCTATAATGATAAGCATATTTTTAACCAATTCCATCTATGTTTTGCAAAAATAGAGAAATTTTTAAATCTTTAAAATCCAACAAGATGGTCTTGTGACATGGAATGGAGAGTGATCTTTGTGTTGTACCAGACCAGAGGTTAATGTAGGGTACATCATTATTGGTCAGTTCGTTATAGTCACAAGACCTCTGTTGACAGTTTCATTGCTGGCGGGGGCTTTAGGGTATCAGAGAGGACAACCAAGTATAATCTGAGAAGCAGAGGGAAGACCAATAACATATTACTACTTGCTTGCTGCCAACTGACACCCGGAGATCCTTTGGCCCTACCAGACAGCAATGGCAGCTCGAGGTAGGGATGCTAGGCCAGGGACAAAGTAGCGACTATTGGTACCGT